TTTTCTAAAGCTGATTGGAAAGGTTACGCGGAGTTTACCGAAAACACCTTCACAGCGCTCCCCACACCAACCGACGTCCATCTCGGTGAACGTAAGTTCCGCAGGGCTGTCACTGCTGCTCCAGCTCGCTTCATACCGGCAGGATGTATAACGGACCCACGTCCAAACTTCCCTGCCGAAGCGGCTCTTCTAGCCGATGAGCGTGATAGCCTTCGTCAGGCCGATCCCGGAGATCCCCGTATCAGGGATCTCAACGCGGAGATTCGGCAACTAGTAAACGTACATAAGCGGAAGAAGTGGGAGGAGCATCTGAAGACCCGTAACTTCACCTCTGGTGTGAGCAAGCTTTGGTCAACCGTGAGGTCGCTGTCCAATCCGACGAAGCACGACGACAGAGTCGAAATTTCCTTCGGCGACCATGCTTCGTCGGACCCGGAGCGATGCGCGGCTATTTTATAACTGCATCCTCCGGTGGACAAAGCCAAGCGTCGAGTGACCAGAAGGCTGCACAAACTGCCAACAACCTGTGCCCCCCTTGCTTTCACTTGCGGTGAAGTTCAGGTGGCCATCGGGAAGGCGAAAGCCTCCAAAGCCATGGGTCCCGACGGAATATGCATGCTGATGCTGAAAAATTTTGGTCCTGCGGGGGTAGCGTACCTAATGTAGGTCCTCAACTTGTCTATAGCCACTCTCATCAACCCAGACATCTGGAAGGTGGGGAGAGTGGTCCCACTGCTCAAACCGGGGAAACCTGCCAACAAAGGAGATTCTTATCGTCCGATAACACTCCTTCCCCGGTAGCGAAGACATTCGAGGCCTTGCTACTCCCGTACTTCACAAACCACTTGACCCAGCGAAGCATCAGCATGGTTTCCGTAAAGTGCACAGTACAACAACAGCACTTAATGCCATAAACACTCAGATAACTCGTGGCCTTAACCGAAACCGTCCCTGTGAGAGAACGATTCTAGTAGCGTTGGACTTGTCAAAGGCGTTTGACACCGTCTGCCATTCCACACTACTAGAAGATATAGAGGCCTCCTCTCTCCCACAGAGGCTCAAACGGTGGTCGGCATATTATCTGAGTGGTCGACATTCGTCGGTAATGTTTAGAGACAAAACGAGTAAACAGAGAAAAATAAAACAGGGGGTTCCACAGGGTGGTGTCCTTTCCCCGCTACTGTTTAACTTTTACATTTCAAATCTCCCTCAACCACCAGAGGGAGTCTCGATTGTCTCTTATGCCGACGATTGCTCGATCATGGCGACTGGGAATGGAATTGATGACCTGTGTTCGAAAGTAAACGGGTATCTCTCCGAACTTTCTCGCTTCTTCACTGCAACGTTTCTAGCCCTCTCCCCTACGAATCCTTCATCAAGCAACCTCTGGACCCGACAGCTTACCGACAGGCCCTGAACGGCATTCACAGGGAGTCAGTCTCGAGTTATGTAGACTCTAGACCTGTGAATGCCGTTCTAGGCATACCGCCCCCGGACACAGACGAGACGGAGCTTCATCTGCCTCGGGAGACTCGTACAACACTAGCACAACTTCGCTCCGGCTACTGCAGCAGGTTAAACTCCTACCTGAGTAGATTGAATGCGGATATGCGGATGAGTGTCCAGCATTCAGAGAGACCCCACATGACTCGAAACATCTCTTCTCATGCCCGGAAAACCCGACAACCCTAACGGCCTTGCCCCTGTGGACCAACCCCACAGAAGCTGCACGCTTCCTAGGGTTGCCGTTAGTGGAACTTGACGACAACGACTGAGTTACCGACCATCCTGGGCGAGGTTGTTGTAGCCGCTACAACAACAACAACAACCAAACAAAAGATTTTTTGATTTTACACGGACGGCATGTGATACCTTGTTTCCTTGAATACTTTAAAAAATATACATACTGGGCCGTATGAATAAAAATAAGCAATTGCTTTTTCCTTAAATTTCACTAATTTCAATTAGTATGAGCAAAGAACGTAGATAACAAGAAGGGACAACTCGTTATAATTGTAGCGAAATGGAGTAACAAGGGTGTGCCTTCTCTTTTCATCCAATTAAAAAGCGTACTAGAGCAAAAGAGAAAGCACGCCCCTATTAGGTCGGTGTTATGCACACATTTTGTTTGGCAAACTGCGTGCAATTGTTGTTGCAGCAAACTCGGAGAGAGCGAGTTTGGCGACTCTCACAGCAAACTAATTTTGTTTGGTCAAACTGCAGCAAATTCGGTGTTGTCATATACAAAATTTTAAAATTTTGCGCGTTATGTACATCTGAAATTCTCATTTCGTGTTGGCAATAGCCATGAAAACCATAATGAACGTGCAACCCTGTGCCAAACTCGACATAACCACCTCCGAGCAAACTAAGCAGCCGCCATTTAATTTGGCAAACAAAAGTTTGTCTGCATGACACCGACCTTATGCAGCGTTTTTGCTGCATTAAAAATGCAACATTTAGCACTTTCGAACATATGTTTTCGAAGAGCGTTCATGCTATAGCATTTAGCAAATGTACATTTACGCGAGTTCGAAATCGTATGCTTTTGACAAACAGCCGTGTTCCAGTCTCTTATTTAGATGCGTATATATTACGATCAATTCTCACGCAGGAGATAATGTGCAAAAACCCTACTGAAAAGGAAAAAATAAATTTTAAACCAAAAATTCAATACAAAAACTTGTATTGTTTTAACCATAACCGAAAATTTGTTTGTGTATATATTCATTTGTCGGTGCTGTCAATTAAAAATTTCTCACTTAATTAGGAAAAAAAACGAACCGAGTTGATCACAAATTGACCCAGATTTCTATCAGCATCAAATCGATGTTGAACTTGCTTAACTTTTCTTTATCCAAATATGTAATGCAAAATAAAAGAAATCTCGATCGGCGATCACTGAAACGTAGCTAGCAACTGTATCTCGAAAAAGCAATGTTGCCACTTTTTCTCTTTAAACCAATTTTGGAAGATCACAGGGTTGCTTTTAGCATTTAGATTCTTAATGCAAAAATGGAGTTGCATTTAGTTGCATTTAGGTGACGAATTTTGTATGGATAAATGTACATTTAGAGTAGCATTTAGAGCTAAATGCGCTAATGTGCTTTTACGCGTAAGCAAAAACAGCCTATTACTCACTTTCGCTACAATTATGGCGAGATGGCCCTTCTTGTTATCTACGTTCTTTGGTATGAGCAGGAACCTCTGGACATCCTCTATGGTGTAAACGCTAAATTATATAATCCGATAGAATTTTTTCAGCCATTTCATCATTCCTTTGTTTCATTCCAGTCTGTCCCGCAAACAACTTCTATTTATTTACTTATTTATGCTAATGCTAATATTTACATAAAATCGGCGAACTATTTATGTTAATTGAGCACTATATAATTCTTTTGAAAAAAGACTTTTTACACAAAATGTCCTCAGCAATTTATTTGGAAAACTACCTTGACGGTAATTTAAAATACAGTGGTGATCAACATCGCTACTTCTTTTGTTTTTTTTTATTTCTTTAGGTTTGGAATCATTGCCGACCGAGTTGGAACGCAACTTTAAATTAATGCGGAAATTAGATGACCGTGCCCAAACCGCTATGAAGAGCATCGATTCGCGAGCAAAAGAATTCATGCATAAGCTTGCAGCAAATGGTGGTTGCACTATGGCAGACGAAGAGCGCAAGGAGCGCCTAATGGACATTCAAGCCCTCTTTGGCAAAGCAAAGGAATATAGTGATGACAAAGTGCAATTGGCCATACAGACATACGAATTGGTAGATAAACAAATACGTCGTCTTGACAATGATTTAGCACGCTTCGAAGGGGAAATACAGGAAAAAGCATCATCAACGCGTAGCAAGTCTGAGGAAGCTGTGGTAAAAAGTAAGATACCGCAATAACTCCTTATATAAGAATTTGATATAGACTTACATTACATACATATGTTATGTAATTCTTAATTTTCTCGTAGAGGGACGAAAGAAAACAAAGGATACAAAAACGTCAGGAAAGCGAAAGCGAACCGGTTCCTCGGATGAAGATGCACGCACAAACGCAGCAAACGTTACCTCAGCTGGAAGTGGTGGTGGAGCTAGTGGTGGAGGGCAAGGTAGCAAAAAGAAAAGGGCGAAGGTAAATCAAGAAAAAGAAACACGCAAGGGGGGTCAAAAGGTAATCATCATACTCATTTTCACATATTCATTAAAACTATACTGTATTGTCTTGTTAATTTGTCATCGTTATTAGCGTGGTTTGAAAGATTCTTACTTAAATGTATGTAATGTTTATTTTACTGATAATAACTTATTTTGAAATTTGTTGAAATGCTGCAAAACACTACGATATACATACATATGTAACGTTGAACTCGGATACAATTTTATTTTCTAGTTTAAAGTGATAAACAATTTTTACTTACAATGCACAGTGGCCCATTTTTCGAAAAAGCTGGCCAAAAGTCGAAGCATGGTACAATTGTGATCAAACCTTGTGTATTCGTCTTTATTTTGGTTGCTGGTTTTAAATTTCACACCACATGATTTCGAAATTCAAAATGGCGGATCCATAATGGCTGCTATGTACGCTTAAAACAATCAAATTTTTAGCAAAACTAAGGTTGTTAAGTATAAAAGGTCATGTTTTCTGCTTTTTTGTTATATAATGTGATGTAGCGGTTAGCAATATACGCTATCATTCCGCAGGGCCTGGGTTCAAGCCCAGTTTCTGATCAACATCAAAAAATAAGAAACAAACAAGTCAGGAAATGGCAAACCCCCGAGTGTATTCAGCCACGAAGAACAGCTTCTCATAAAAATAAAATCCCCGTTCGGATTCGGCGTAAAACTGTTGGTCCCTCCCCTTTGTGCGCCAACATCAAGGCGCACGCCACAAATCGGAACAGAAGCTCGGACAAATACTAAGGAGGTCTTAATGTTTGTTTCTAAAAATCTTGATGTTCAAATTTACACGGGAACTGCGGGATTTTTAATGAATCAATAAACAAGACATACATATTTGTTGGTACAAGAATGTATTTTAACAATTTTATACACCGTCAGACTCGCAGTCATCTGAAGTATCCAAGCTCATATCTATATTTTCTGATGGCAATTCCGCATCCGCATTTTCAAACCGATATTTTTTTGATATCATTATTCCTCGAATCTTGGGCTTCTTCGGAAAGTTGCCCAATTGGCAGGGGTGCCCATTCAATAATGAGAGGCCCGTGGATGACCATGATTCAATAATTAAAGGTTTGCTCATTATTGACATTAGAGTTTTGACACTCCCTTAGCTCCCTTACAAAAGCTTTGCACACACACACGAACCCACACACAATGCTTTGCTAAGGGAGCCGATTTTGTCAAGAGGGAGCGAGAAAACTGCTTTTGAGCAAACCTTTTATTATTGAATCATGATGGATGACCAATCTAATATAGTAGTACTTTCTGACATCATTTAAATTCTAAAAAAAATCCAATCTTTAAAACATCAAAATCTTGACAGAAATAATTTTTTACATAATTTAAATCTTTTAAAAAAAATTAAGAATCGCGTATAAAAACTGATGTTCAAACTACAGTGGCGGCTTGTGGCAGGTGGTTTTAACCAAGGTGGATGGGAAAAACTTCAATCTATATGAAAAAGAAAATTAGACCACCACTCTCGTAACTATTTTCCTAATCCATCATAATGAGTAAACAAAAAAAATCAATCCGTGAATATCTACGGCTTAAGTCAGTTTTTAGATGGCGTGACAATGAAAAAACATGTTTTACATACTCTAGATTACAATGTCCATGAGCGGATGCTTGAAAACTGTTATTTTTTTTAAGGATAATACCACGATTTTAACAACGACGAAGACTCTAATTTACGAAAAGTTTAGAGCGAATTGCTAGCAACAGTAACTTCGATCTCCTGTAACACTAAATGCCTTAAGAGGATCGACTTGTCTCATAACGATACGCAGTAGAGCCCTCCTAACAATATAAGATGGTTATGCATACGAATGCACCAATTTTGGTTTGGACTTTTGGCCAGGGTTTTCCAAAAATTGGCCACTGTGCAATGGGCCGTATGCATAAAATATAAGCGATTAGTTTTTCTTAAAATTTCATACCTTCCACTTAAATTTATTTGAACAAATCGAGCAAAAGGTCTGAAATTTTAAGAAAAAGCATTTGCCTAGGTTTTATGCATATGGCCCAATATATCTGATGGAAGCATTAAGCTACAGCAGATTACTATCGCTACTTCAATGGGGCATCCCAGCGTGCTTTTATTATATAACTTACTGTAGTTAAGAAATTAGAATTTCAAACATATTCTGGCTTATCCTGACTTTCGCCTGAAAAAAAATTCAGCCTAAAACTTTTCATCCGCCGATAGTAAATACATGGAAACCAAAAGTGGAAACCCTACAAACAATTTTTTCAGAGTGTTCTGAATTGTAGAGAAGTTTTAAAGAATTCGTAAAGATCTCATCCGATTTTTTGCCGAATTTTCTAAATGTAATAAACTGTGCACACTTCAATTCTTTTACGAAATTTCGAAAGAAAATGGGTAAAGCAATGAAAACAATGCAGCTATGTGATGAATTTCTTGCAAAATTTTTTCAGAATTTTCTTTATTTTTCGTACAGAAATTTCTTTACGATTTCGTGTCAATAGCTTCATATAATTTTCTTTGAAGATTCGTAAAAAACTCATTAGAGAAATGAGATGCTGCTAAAGATTTCGTTAAGATGTCGGGAACTTTGATTTGCAGTGATGTGAATCGGTTCGGGGAAAATGACACTCATGATAAGGCTGATTAAAATTTTTATTTCACCTACACTCTGCTTTGATAGTTATCTTTCTTCAAATACAATACTTTTATAAATAAATACTTTTCTATAGTTAGCATTTTTTGAATGTGATATGCATATGCATATATTTTGTTACGTTTTTTTTTTTGTAGTGTTTTATACATACATATGCACGCAAAGGAATTGCAAGCATATAAATCTCGTTTTTTTGATTCATCTCTTACATTTTCATTGCATTTCATAGTTAAAAATACCTTTTGTATGCTTTTCAAGCTTAATTTTTTTTATAAAATAATACATTTGTTCTTGGAACTGTTAAAGATTGCAGTAGTAACATAAAGTTTCAAATACTTTTAAAGAAAAATGCCGATATCGAGGATTCTGAAAAGGAGTCATGCTTAACAGCCGCTACTCATCCCAGTGATGTGTTAGATATGCCAGTGGATCCAAATGAACCTACGTACTGCTTGTGTCACCAGGTTTCATATGGTGAAATGATTGGCTGTGACAATCCTGATGTAAGTATCAGCCATTAACGAATCGTTGGTACAGTGATTATACATACAAATATTTCTTTACTCACATTTTTAACGTATCCAGTGCCCAATCGAATGGTTCCACTTCGCATGTGTTGGTCTAACAACGAAACCCAAAGGAAAATGGTTTTGCCCGAAGTGTACTCAGGATAGAAAAAAGAAATAATTATTCACAAACCGGTCATCGGAAGGCTCACGTAATTCAGTTTTATCAGTACCATCTTTAAAGTTTATATATTTTTGTATGATTTATTAATAACTATTATAAGAATGTAAATGATTTTGTATCCAAAATTTCTTATATTTCATCTTACAATCAAAGACATTTACGCTGCTCGTTTAAAAATGGTTACAGAAAATATGTATAACTAAGAACTAAGAACTAGAAATAATTTTAAATGGAAAAATCCAAACTTTATCGTCAGCATCTTGAATCAATCGGCCTTATAGGGAACTCCGTGTGAACAATTTTTCCCAAAAATTATAAAGTAAAACAAGAACAATTTTTCCCAATTTGTTTTTGTTTTGCTTGTAAAATGTTGTGAAAATTTTTTTCACATGTAATTAACGATAGGGCTGAATGTTTTGATTTCAACAGCTGGGAAAATACTTGGCTTTTTTTTTTTAAGAAATAATATAAAAAAAGACCTGTACACAACTAAGAAGAGTAACAGCAGCAGGAAATTTTAAGTTTTCGGTCTAAACGCGCAATTCTCAAAATGTCTGCTAGGTTGAATTAATAAATGATGTCTCCTTTATAAAGGCCATGAAGTTTATTGTAATAAGAATCATTAATCAATTTACATTTAAATAACCAATTGAGTAAATATGTACATACATATGTACTATGCATGTTCTAAAGATATATGTATGTACTTATGTAGGATGGATTTACATGTGTATCACTTTATACGAAACTCAAAATTTTTGTTCTCCAACGAATTTGCAAATCCAGTTATATTGGAGTATCGCTCAGCACTTTCGACCACAGTCGAAAATCGAATGCAGCTCATAATAAGGGCCTTTGTTTACAAATCGAGCAAACCAAATAGTGTGCTTATACATATTTATGTAAATTTGTTCTAATTAAAATGAAGTAAAAAAGAAAGCAAGTTTATAAAAACGTGGTAAAATGAGTACAACGAGTTCTGGTTCAACGATTCGTCAGAGGATGAGAGCTAAGTAAACTGGCCAGGAGTAGCAAATGTTTAAGAGAGTTTAAGTTTATTAGTCTTTCGAATATATTTTGATATAAAATATATTTAAGAAATTTGTCTACAGATTCATTAAAAAGTTCCGACCATCTAAAGAAGCGTTTGTGAGCCAAATCTATTTAAAATATTTTAAAACTATCAACAGCGCTACGATTTTGTTCTCAGAGATCGCGCCAACAGAGTATTGGGATTTTCTTTCACAAGTAAAACCAGCCTTTCGAGCTTGTGTTTAGTATTCACGATGTTAGAACTGCATGAAATTAATAAAAATTGTTTAAAATTAGTGTCTAGCCGCCAAAATGTAAGAAAACATATACAAAATCATACATTTTTAACAATTTTCTAACACTTCGCTACACCATCGAAAGTAAAATTCTGTTCGACAGAAAATTCGATACTCAACGAAAATTTCGACACGCTTGCATAGCTCATAATACGAATTTCACTTTCGATCTTCGATAGCCAGCGAAGATCGAAAATCGAATGCAGCTCATAATAAGGGCCAGAATACATGCATATGTATTTTTATTCTTCAGTTTCTTACATCCGGTTAACCTCATTTATAATTCCCCAGCAAACACAGTCTCTGACATTAGAGAAATTTGGATTTCTACATTAGATAACTAGGGTAATTCTCTGATCGTTCTCGAGTCGATGACGAAGTTAAAGAACTACATTAGAATTCGATTCGAGAAACAACGCAAATTCAAATAAATGTAAATAAGCAATATTCCAAATGATTGAATCATAAATTATTTTTAAGTTCAAATAATTCATTATTATTTTATTGCAAATACTATTAATACAAATTTTACAAACAAAGCGTTTTATTTAATTAAGCAAAAAAGTAGTTTGAAATTCACATTCGAATCCCATTAAAGATCAACATTAGAAATCGATAAGAGAATTAATATTTTCTCGAGTCGAGAACTATGTCCCATACTCCCAATAGTTTTTCCCCGAGTCGTTACCTAACGTTTGAGATTGGAGAATGTGGCTAGTTCTCCAACCATTCTCTAATCGACAACTAATCTCAGTGTTTTCTGGCCAGAGATCATGAAAAATGTAAATACCTTCATATCCCGCTTTCAAACAATTTTTACATGGGGTAGCTGAGGTAATTTAATTTTTTTGTTTCTGAACTGATGAGCTATTTTTGCATTCTGCATACCATAGAAATAATTGTGAAAAAAGGTTTTCTAATTGTTCATAATATTAAAAGATCCAACTTGTCACCAAAAACTACTTGTATTATGTTTTCAATCGCAAAACGTACTTTCCAGATTTTTCTATTGAAATTGGACATTTCCATCTGACCTGTGGTTTTCAGTGCAATGAAATCTGCCGATCGCGGCCTGCCATAATATTCGCGTTTTCTTTATCCTAATGCTGGATTTCCACTAGGCATTAAATGGCAAAAATGACAAATGACAAAGTTGGGCACTATAAATTAAGCAGTGTCTGCACACACGAGCCACGGTAACTTTAACCGTAGATCCACGGGAAAATTTACCATAGAAAATTACGTGGATTATGTGTTGCCGGAGAGTGGGGCCGGAGGGGCAAGTTTACCGTAGATTCACGGTAAAAGTTATCATGGCGCGTGTAAATAGACACTCCCTAAAAAATAATCGTGTCATTACATTCAAATATAGTCATTAAGTTCATTTCCACATGGCATTTTTTTAAATTGGCAAACATTTTTTGTCATTTGAATTCCTAGTGGAAATTCGGCATAACAATCGTAATTTATATCAGCTCAAAGCAATTCCCAAAAAAGTTTGGGAGGCGCTTTTAATGTGACCAGGTTTAATCAAGAACTGGTGATAGGTAGTTAATTAGCCTGTTCCCGTACTTCACGATTTCCAGGATTCGCAGATTTTCATGAACAGCTGTTTTCGCCTTTAATAAACCTTATGTGAACGTGGCGTACGGGAACGACTTTGGACTAAATCCTGCAAAACCTGCAAAACCTGCAAATCGTAGACGTTCTAGAACGCACTAAATATAAATTATTTGAAACGCTACACCCCAATTTAATTTTAAAAGTACATAAAAATCATGCACTTAATTTAAACAATTTTATTTATTTTATACTTTGTACAATTAAAATGCAATTATTGCACGAATATGGGTAATTTTTAAATGAAAGTTTTAAATTTACTTTTACATTTTAAAAGATCGAAAATGTATAACTGGAAATCCATCAATGTACCAAACTTCAAATCTTGTAATATAAGACAAGATATTTTTATTTATTAAAATATAACCATAATCGATTCGAATATGCTGCGCTATACGTTCATTTTTGGTATTTTGCTAAAAAATAACAATCGCATCATTTTATGATGTTATGCCTATTTTCCTGTTCCAGGATCTCGTGTGCGTAGTATTCTTTTAAACCAGCTTGTTCGCGACTCGTTGGCCATGTATTCATGATTTTGAAGGTGGAAGTTCGACATGCTGAATATGTGTTGCATCTCAAGTGCCCGCTTAAATGAGTACTGCTTCGTCGCAAGGTACATTTTTCGCAAAAATTCCGGCATTTGTTTCTGCGTGACCCATGATTTTATATTTTGTGGAATTGGCAGTCCTGGATCATCATAATATGTGAGTATATAGTGTACTCCCGGTTCACTGAAGGTCTTATAGGGTTTTATCACCATCAAACTCCAGTAATCGTTAACTCGCACTTTGCCAGAGAATACTGGATATTTAGGATGTTGAGTACCTCTACTGGCCACCATCATAACATTGCGCTTGTCGTCCGTAACAAAGCGGCGACAATACACATAATCACGATTAGAAAAAAGTCTCGGCCATTGCATTTCCCAGTAAATGAGATGTGAATTCGTGTTGGGTCGTGGGTCTTCTTCGATTAACTCCAACTGTACAGCAGTCTCATCCCACACCCGCCGGTAATTCAGGTCGGTCTGTACGTGTAGCAAATCTTCAGCGGAGACGTCATCGAAGCGGGCATATACCTTATAAGAGTACATTGCTGATCTTTCCTCGCGGCGCCAAATAGAAAACTCGTCTTTACTAAAGTACGGCTCCCAAAGGTTTTCATCTGCTGATTCGATAACTTTGCGTCCTAAAGGCGCAGGATCTTCAGTTAAGTTTAGTGATCGTCGGCAGTTACGTATGCTCTCTCCTCCATCCTTTTCCGATCGACACTTTTTGTTACCCACTGAGCAATAACAGTATTTCATGTGTTTTTCCTTGCATAATAGACATAGTTCATTATTTGGCAATTGGTTTAGAAAGTCAATATCACGCCGGCAAAGGTCAAAATTTTTTAGACTCAAACGTTCTTTGTCCCAATTGAATCCTGCGGCTTCTATTGCAGTAGTAATATTCAGACCTACCACACCTACTGCACTTAACATTATACCCCTAAGTGGTGGTTCAAGCTGTTTGTGGTAGGAGCGAAGCAATCGTTGTAATCCATTTGAACCATAAACCCGATGGTAGAATGAAAACAACTGTTGAATTCGGCGCGAACGTTGCGCTACAATCGATTCAAATTGGTAGGACCATGAGCGCAAAGTTACATTTGATCGATGTTTAATGTTCAATATAATACGAGTAAACATTTTTAATTGATTCTTGTTTTAATTTTTGTTGTTGCTCCTGCTTTGGTTGCCGGCATGTGACGCTTTTGTAAATTTTAGTTTACAGCAGTTCCATGTATTCCGTCTCTCACGCCGGTGCCGCTATTCATGTGGGGGCGTCGGAACGCTTGCATAACAACGCAGCAACAATTTTTATGGATTTATTTCGAATTTTGTACAAGTAAACTACCCGCTTATGTGCGATATTTAGTGAACATTAGACATGAATCGCTTCTGTCAAACATTTGTTCCAACTTTTATATAAACACAGTACGCACACTGTTAAATACGCTTATAAAATTGTTACCAAATGGCGCCTAAATATATATTAATAATAATACAAATAGTTCACGTTGCATGTGGTACGCAATTAAAAAAAGAAGCATACCACTGCACGGGTTACAAAAAGTCAATTGGTGTAATCTGTAATAAAACAATAAGCACGTTAAGTGTGGAGAGATTGATCAGCTGTTTTGAAAAGTAACAGTGTTGCCAAGTTTCGATTTTGAAAAAGGTACTAAAACCGAAGAAAAATCGCGTTTTTTCTCGAAAAAAGCACCAAATTTTTATCGGAGTGTCTAATGGACTTTATATGCATACAAATTTTTGTAGGGATGCTGATTTAAATTAATACAAATCAATGTTTCTTGCTCGACGGTCGAATTTTTTCTGTTTTCTATAAATTCAAATATTCTCGTCCAAGCGACAATAACATTCTTATTCTTAGTTTTTTGTTATTTTTTGGCCTTATAACAATTATATTCAACAACTTTTGTTGAGCTCGAGGCCGTTTTTTAATGAAAATTTATTGTGGAAAAGCAACAATAATTTGAAAAAATGGTAGAAGTGATAGCTAATTCGGAAATCACCGCATTTCCCCATCAGACTTCTTACAGTAGGCTTCCAACCGATGATCCCACTGACTCAGCCAGTTGCCTATGCACCGTGCTAAGTATGCCTTGTAAATTATCGTTTGCTTTTTTCCACTATTTTCATTTTTGTTATGCCAACACGATCAAGCGCAGCTATTCCGCTGTAATTCACTTGATCATGCGGTTGTTGGTATTGTTGGTTTTTGCTAATAATTCTATTTTTAGAATGTTTAACTTTTAGGTGTGCTCGTCCTTAAGTTATTTGTTTTTTGTTATTTTTTGGCCTTATAACAATTATATTTTAATGAAAATTTATTGTGGAAAAGCAACAATAATTTGAAAAAATGGTAGAAGTGATAGCTATTTCGGAAATCACCACATTTCCTCATCAGGCCTACTTAGTGGTGATTTCCGAAATAGCTATCACTTCTACCATTTTTTTCAAATTATTGTTCCTTTTCCACAATAAATTTTCATTAAAAACGGCCTCGAGCTCAATAAAAATTGTTAAATATAATTGTTATAAGGCCAAAAAATAACAAAAAACAAATAACATAAGGACGAGCACAGCTAAAAGTTAAACATTCTAAAAATAGAATAATGAGCAAAAATCAACAATACCAACAACCACATGATCAAGTGAATTGTAGCGGAATAGCTGCGCTTGATTGTGGTGGCATCAGTACTGCCGAAAGTACTACCTTAGTAGTATTTTACTGCTATTTTGTCATTTATACTCCCGTACTGCCCAAAGACCGATTCTACTACTATTTTGCGAGATAGTGGACTTTTTTAATAATATTTATAAAGTAGTTCAAAATATATCGTATTGAACGCTGCTAGAGCACATTGCTTGCAGATATTTGCGATGAACTTTCACTTTCATCGAGAGCTCACTTTGTGGTCAAGTTTCTTAAGCCACATTACAGATTTTTTTTAAATTTATGACTGCAGTTATGAACTTATATCGGGTATAAAACTCTTGTGCTTTTAACTCTTGGAGGAAAAGCTCTTTTATTGGTCCGAACTAACGCAAAAACGCGTGCAGGAATACGTACCTACGAAGGTGGGGTCTTCAACAAGACAGGATATGAAAGAAGGATGCCATATATGCCAGCCACATTCAGAGGTTTGCGCCACGAATAGTCACCACTTAGCCATTCCAAAAGTTGCCTGCTGCCCTACTTGATTAATGAAGCAGCCCGTCGAAACCTCCCAATTATTGCTGAGACATACTGACATACCGGATGACCTGCCACTTATGAGTATTTAGAGTAAAACAAGTTCCTTATGTATTTATCAACAAAATTTTGCTGAAACTCACATTGCTCAGTTTGGAAGTACTTAATTAAAAGGCTGGCGAATGACTTCCACCAATTTTGGGTCATGTTGTCCTTATCCTGAGGAATGCAAATAATACGGCTTGAGATACCGAAGCATATTCCCCTTAAAAATTAAGACTTCAGTTTCTTTCCAAATGTTAGTTTTAGAGTCATCCATAGGAATTAAATAATATGTATGCACATATTGTAATTAACCCAGAAATAAGTGCCAACAAACCCATCGTTGTAGAATTTTCTCAGCAAATGTGATAGCATTCTGTCCTTGAGCATTGAGAAGCACATCTACATCTCTGCCTTCAAAATATTCCACCTCAGTATACTCTGTAGCATAACGCCACCTATTTCTTTTAAACTTATAATTTTCCTTAAGTTAAGTTTGAAGATTTATACAAACATATGGGGCGTACTCCTTAAAATGTCAAAATACTCCTCAAATGATACGTTTTTTACTACTATGAAAAAATAGAAAACGGCAGCACTGGTTGGCATAACAAAAATGAAAATAGTGGAAAAAAGCAAACGATAATTTACAAGGCGTACTTAGCACCAGCGTTGCCAGGTTTACTTTTTTAACGTCATTTGGACGTTTTTTGTATCCTGTTGACGTTTGGACGTTTTTTGTGTAAAAAATGACGTTTTTCAACTTTCTAGTATTTTTTCTCTGTTACTTAATCTTGTAAGTAGAACTGTTTTTGAATTATTTTCTTAATAAATCTTTACAAACTTTCTGTTTTGCAGCAGCTGTTTCAAAAGATATTTATTCTTTGGACACAGATGACTTAAATATGATGCAAACCAATTGTACGCGCATTCTTTTGGATTCTTGGACAAAGGCTGGTTGTGTAAACACTTGAGGTTACGAGACTAATTCTAATGTTTGCAATTGCACATTAAAAGCCAAATCAGGAAGAGCTGATCTATTGCAACACGCACGCTCGCAAAAGCATCAAAAAAGCTGTAGCAGCATAATAAGTCAGAAAAAAGTAGGAAGACTTCATTGAAAATGTAATGAACGCAAAAAAGGCTGAAATATTACTATCCTCCTTCTTAGCAGAACGTAATTTAGCATTTTCGACAACCGCCCCCTAACCAAATGTCCACAAGAAAAAAAATTATTAAAAATCAACGCGATCATGTAGCCGCTTTAAACTTGCACATTATTCCCTGACATCTAATGGGCTATCAAACTGCATACTCCAAAAAATTTAAAAAATCTGAACAAAAAGTTTAAAATATAGCTGAAACTTTGCTGACTGACACAATCGACCAGGCACAATCAAGAGTGTAACTTGTGTTTAACTCCTGAAGATGACCTCAGATTGAGGTCGAAACATCGACAATTAAAATATCTATAGAACGAAAATTTGCGTTTTATTTAATTGCTGGGCCTCGAGCTTGTTAAAAATGATTCATAATCGAAAAATAATAAACATTAAATAAACAAAAGAAAAACAGCCAAAATCGATCAAAATGTTGATGACTTAATCAGCTGATCACAAGTGTATGTATAAAATCATTTTTATATTAACGATCTCAAACCAGTTTAAAATGAATTCTAAACGTGCTCTGTCGAAATGACATTTTAATATAATTTTACTGAGGTGATAGGTATATATGTACCTTTGTATACAATAAAAGTTTAATAAGAACAATTTTTTGTACATTCATTTGAAAAAGACGTTTTTGGGTAGGAAATTACGTTTTTTCAGACCAAGAGGGACGTTTTCTCAAGCCGAAGACCTGGCAACACTGCTTAGCACAGTGCATAGGCAACTGGCTGAGTCAGTGGGATCGTCGGTTCAAAGCCTACTGAAAGAAGTCTGATGAGGAAATGTGGTGATTTCCGAAATAGCTATCACTTATACAATTTTTTCAAATTATTGTTGCTTTTCCACAATAAATTTTCATTAAAAAACGGCCTCGAGCTCAATAAAAATTGTTGAATATAATTGTTATAAGGCCAAAAAATAACAAAAAAACAAATAACGTAAGGACGAGCATACCTAAAAGTTAAACATTCTAAAAATAGAATTATTAGCAAAAACCAACAATACCAACAACCACATGATCAAGTGAATTGCAGCGGAATAGCTGCGTTTGATTGTGTTGGCATAACAAAAATGAAAATAGTGGAAAAAAGCAAACGATAATTTACAAGGCGTACTTAGCACGGTGCATAGGCAAACGGCTGAGTCAGTGAGATCGTCGGTTCGAAGCCTACTGAAAGAAGTCTGATGAGGAAATGTGGTTATTTCCGAAATAGCTATCACTTCTACGATTCTTTCAAATTATTGTTGCTTTTCCACAATAAATTTTCATTAAAAAACGGCCTCGAGCTCAATAAAAATTGTTGAATATAATTCTTATTCTTATTTTTTAATTTTCAGCTGTGTTCAGCGTTACCGCTTCGCTTAGATTCAAGAAATATTTAAAAAAATTTCCTGACTGTATATATGTTAAATTTTTCTTCGTTTTGCATAATTTTTTCTACAATTCCTATCAAACGAAAGCAAAAACAAAAAACGAAGTTTATTGAACTATGTGGTAGTTTAAATCTAAACTGCAGTTTCTTATGATCTCGTGAACTAACATAAAGAACTTGTTTTTACGACTGCTTTACACCTGAAACATAACGAAATTTGATTTCCCTTTTTATGTGCCTTATTTGAGCGCATAGCGGAAAAAATCCGTTTGTGTCAAAAATTTGTTGGCAAACATATGCTCGCTTACGATTGTCATTGGGCCATGATTTTGTTTCCATTTTTGTAAAGTTGCTAAAATATTTACCATTGCTATTAATTTAGCTTCGATTTTTTCGATTGGCTTAGGTTTTCGAGATATTTGAGCCTAAACATACAATTATGATTATGCTGTTTAGCTCAACGAGATATTTTGTTTTAAACCTGAGGTATTGTCCATTGAAGTTTATGAGTTTTGCGACATTACTTCTTTGCACAAGTGCTTGAAAGATACAACACGAAAATAAACAGATTTGTGGTATACGTTAGGCTTCTTTATTTATTTATTATTTATTATTATGTATATTATATATCATGTATATCATATATCATAAATATATCACGTACTTCATACATATGTATAATATCAAATGAAATTCCTAGAGAATTTCTCATGCATTCATTTCTTCGTTAAATTCTTAAACGAAATAAGTTTGCTCTATGCACGCGCACATATCACATACATTCATTATGTAAATAAAGACGC